TAGTATGGTACACTGTATAGTATGGTACGCGGCAACGTGCGCGTCGATACCGTTGAACGGGCACTATTTAATCAAGCGATTCTCTGTCTGGTGTCCCGTTCCCAGAAGCTTGCCTAGAGATCTTGAGATGTTCACTGAGTAGATGAACTATAGTCTTTAACTATACCCACGATCCGTAATAGTAGAACATCGAGAGTTTAAGGATTATTTTATAGCTTGGGACCAGCTCCGGCTTGTGTTAATTTTCTCTAGGGGAAGATTAAGAAATAGTAATAAATCTGTCTTTTTTGCAATGCTTGATCTGGCAATGATTCTGCTAGATTTCGATAGAATTTTGACGTTTCAAAATGAAATAGTACATTGTGTACCTAGGGCGCAAAATAGGGCATTCTAGCACTGGCACGAGGGCGACAAATTGGCACGAGGGCGACAAATTCGCACGAGTGACTGAATGCCCTTTGCGCCCGTGGTGCACATACTATTTTTTGACACTCCGGGCGCGAAATTCGGTTTCTCGTGCAATTGTTTCTAGGGCGGGAATGTGCTATGTTGCGCCCGCTAAACATGCACGAGAAACCGAATTTCGCGCCCGGAGAGCTTGGGACCAGCTCCGGCTTGTGTTAATTTTCTCTAGGGGAAGATTAAGAAATAGTAATAAATCTGTCTTTTTTGCAATGCTTGATCTGGCAATGATTCTGCTAGATTTCGATAGAATTTTGACGTTTCAAAATGAAATAGTACATTGTGTACCTAGGGCGCAAAATAGGGCATTCTAGCACTGGCACGAGGGCGACAAATTGGCACGAGGGCGACAAATTCGCACGAGTGACTGAATGCCCTTTGCGCCCGTGGTGCACATACTATTTTTTGACACTCCGGGCGCGAAATTCGGTTTCTCGTGCAATTGTTTCTAGGGCGGGAATGTGCTATGTTGCGCCCGCTAAACATGCACGAGAAACCGAATTTCGCGCCCGGAGGGTCAAAAACAATTTTAACCTAGCAACGTGATAATTCGGCCTGTACGGGCATCGATGTCACCGAGCTCACAGAAAGGTAGATAACGCACCGACAGTGCCTGAACAGAGATAATAGAGAATTCACTGGCAGTAAATAGAATTCAGTACAACAAAATCTACATAAACTACCGATAAACACGTGAGCAAAGCGCCTTTTTAAACTTCGTTCTTTTTAACGACGCGGTGTTCGCATCGTTGACAGTTGAACCGGTGAACCATCGGAGTTTACACAATAACCGGTGCACGGGTATCGAGGCTTGGACGTAGTTCGAACGTAAGCGACAACTGGAATGAGAATCCTGTGGTTGTGAAGTGTGAACAGTTCGCGACGATATTCCGTGCAACGCGTCGTTACGGTTGAAATCGACGTATCGGCAAGCGACCTTATTTCCTTAAAACGTAGCTACCAGCAAGCGTTGACCGAGCTCCATTTCTGTGCTAGCAGGTTTCACGTGCTCCGCTACCGTGATTCATATAACCGTACGTCCAGAGGAGGAAAAAAAATCACAGCGATTTCTGTCACTCTCATGATCGATTTAACGCGTTCGGAGTATTGCGGATCGATTGGGAAAATTGGAATACGTCAGAAAACCTCGTTTCGCTGTATTTTCTCGACGCGAGTTCGCAGAATCCTTGCCCAAGGACTCTTAACCGTCTCCTCTTTCTCCCCCGATGCAACCGGGTTCTAAATCGGGAACACGGCACATCGAGTCGAAAGTTGAACGTTGCACAACAATCCGGTGGTCGCAATATCGCAATATCTTCGTCTTACATGGCACGCGGTCTATGTAAACTGTCTAAACATAAGCGTGCTCCAGTATCCAGAAATGCTGTCGCACGCGTGTCGAAAGTTTGGCTATTTTTGACACCGTTCTACTCAAAACCCGAATCACGCCGGCAGTTTTGCAAGTCGATTCTCCGGTTACGGAACGTTTACGGAAAGGAGCGCGGACGGGTTCAAATTTAACGGGGAGACTGTACCGCTCTCGGAGTTAATCCAGCGCACCGCGAGGAAAGTGAGAGCACCACCTTCTCGATACGGGCCGTGTGCACGGCTCTCCGTGCGTAAGTTCGCAGCGTTTTGCTACCGTGACGATAATGTCGCGCGCAAGAAACGCGACGGAGCCGATAAAGGGATAAAGTTAAAAGTACAGACACGAATGGTCGGTGTCCCGAGCGACCATGATACACAAGCGGAATAGAACGAAGCGTGCTATATGCGCTCGCCGAGCTGAACTTGTTGCTAAGGCCGCGCGTAGCGCGCGACAAATCTGTTCAACCTGTCACGGTGACACAAGAGTTCTCACCATACGAGACTCGAATTCGCGGGTTTCGCATGGAGAAACAAGATTAAGTTTTAACAATGCAATCGATATCGTGAACTTACTTGATCAGGATCCTCCAAAAGCAACCGAAGCTGGAGCCGTTTGGCACTTCGCTCGCGTACGATATAGTCATTTCTCGGCTGACCAGGTGTACTTTGACCCGTTTCTATCTCTCTTGGTATCACTTGTACCAATTGTTTAACGATCTTTTATAGTTAGTAGTAGCTCGCACCGTGCTCGTTGGTGTTTCCGGTGGAGAAGCTAGATAAACACTCGCGCACATGCGGCGCGCGGGCCGCCCGATTCTCTTTTCGATCGTCTCGGATCGATCCTCGGATTCGGCCGGGTTCTATCAGGTGGTTCGGTTTACCATCAGGAAGCTCCAAACACGATTAGACTGAACCAGCTGACCAGACGGACTGACTGTCTGGTGACTGAGCTCCACTGACAGACGACAGGACCAACGGAGAACGGGGCCCGGCTGCCACCTCCACCCGGGCCTCAGTGCCGCTCGCACCTGCCTCATTACCCTACTCTTTCACCGATTTCTTTCTCATCCTTCGCTACAAGATCCTCCATTTAACTTTTTCCTCTTACTGCATTCTATTTTTGACTTCGTTACAAAATCTCTGGTATACGGGCAAGTGGCATTTACTGAAAGTTTCATTCAAAATCGAATACGTATAAACATTTGTCTTGTTGAGCAAACAAATTCTTGTTGGCAAAACATTTCCCTTGCTAATTACGATTCTCGGAGCCGCGTCGATACCCCGAGGCACGCGTCCCGAACGATTCCCAAGAATCTCCAATGGCCGAAAGGATTCGCGTTACGACACGATTCACGATGAATTCTTGAAAAAAATCAATGAAACGCCTCGCCTTTCAAATGATCTGCTTTCGAACCGAGTAAAAGGAGAGCGTTTCTGCTCCCGACGTCTTCGTTTGATATCAACTGCGATTTACACATTCCTATCCTTAGGTTCCGTGGCGCCGCTTTAATTAGTCGTTTATAGTATTATTATGCCACTATTAAACTCTCCGACGCCGCGAGGAACTGTGGTAATAATACTTGTCAAAGTTCTTCGTAAGTCTGGACATTAAATTTTTAATGATTTCTCCGTTCCCGGAAGATCGAACGCCTAAGAACTACTTAGCGTTCTTCGAAAAACGGCGCCGATTCTTACGGCACTGTTCCCATTCGAATGCCGTAACACCGGACTCGTGTTATCGGTTCACCTGAATACGACATCTTGTGACCGGTTCCCGCACTGCTCTCTCACCTTGCCGCGGCCTAGCCTGCGGCGGAATTCCGACGTTCTGGTACCATCCACCGGTCACCAGACGCTATTTGCACGCACGCTACGGGAAAACGCGACCCGCCGCGCGACTCCGTGACACGGTTTTCAACCCTTCGATCGATCATTTAATTTCGTATCAAGCGACGATTAAGATAAGAATCGTAATCTTGCGTGAGATCATAGCTATCTTAATTTTAAATAAATCATTATTCATATGCTAGCGATTTGCGGAATTTCTTGGATAAATTTATTCAAGGCGCACGTTCCCGTTTGATTCTCGGACAGACGCACAGAAACCGGACCAAACTTTCTGGAAATTCCGTGAACATCGTGAGATAGGTCATTGACGTCATCGAGTTAAAACCAGCATCCGCGATTTATAGGTGAAATGAAAAAGACACGTAAGAAGGGAAGGGGTCTTCGCCGCCGCACGTGCTCGCTTCGTGTAATGAAACCGGGCTCCGGTTGCAAGCGAGTTTTAATCAAGGAAGTCGTCCGTACATTTAAACTCGTTAGTTTCTCGCCCGGCGACGACGTCGGTACGGAACGGGGTGATACATAAATCCAGGTTATATATTTAACGACACTTTTTACACGAGGGTAACACAGGAAACTGGTACGAAATAGTACAATACAGTGTTTGGAAAGGACAACGTGGAACTGATCACGATATTTTAATATCCTTTTGCACGTCGTACACGAGGTTCGCTGATGTCCGGAACAATTTTTTCTCGAACTCCGTGATACGCATTCGGACGATGTTCGTTACGCCGTTCTCGCCGAGGGTACATGGCAGGGACAGGTACATCTCGTGGCAAACGTCATGATGACCCTGCAAACATAATTTTCCTGTATTATACTAATTAGCATATGATTTGTAAAATATGAATTGTATAATTTTTTAACGATTGGTCATTATAATTTGGACAGTCATTATTAATTGACTGCTTCAATTTGAGCCGATTATACTTAATTTAATTTATGCTCAACGTACGAACGACAAAGAATTGTTGCTAATTGGAGATAAGAAACGGTAGCGATCTTTTATACCTGAATCATTGTTGAAACCGGTATTACTCTCTGCGAGTTACTCAGAATAGCCCTCACGATGTCAGCAGTCGAGAGACCGACTGCCGTGTTCGTGTATCCTTTCAGGCATCTCACCATCGGCCCACTGAAACCAATCGGAAGTTCATCTTATTTCTGCCTTCCGGTAGCATAGAGGAAATTGCGAAAAAGACACTCACAGTCTGATTACTTCCTTAGGAATTTCGAACCATCGTTCCTCGTCGGTCTCGAGACCAATATTTGGCAGGATGTCGCGAAACTGAACGCCCGCAACGTTCACTCCGGACCAGAGCGGAACTAGGAAATGTAGATTCAGATTAATTTAAATACGCGTGATATACGTAACTGTCTTGCTTTCTCCTTCGGCAAGACGCGAAAAATTAGATCAGCTCGTACTCGCGTTGGATTCGTTTTATACCCGGACGAAAGTCTTCGTACATCTCAATATTTGAATATTTATTCTTATTAGTAATTAAGTATTAATTAATGAATGCATGAAGCATGAGGGAGGGAAATAAATGAAAGAACTAAGATCTAAACGATTTTTATCGTAGAATTCCTTTGGGTAATTGAAATGAAATAAGGGATGTTTTATTAACACTAGAACTACCAACTTTTTTATATATGCATTTCTCCTCTCAAAACTGGTAGTCATTTTAACTGGTAGTTCTAGTATTAAAATAATGACAAGATTTATAAAGCTTCTTGACTGGACTCACCCAGAGATTCACCGTGCTCGCCTATAATCGTCGCGTGAACGGACTTCGGTGCTATCCCTATGCGATCAGCGATTAAATAACGAAACCTCGCAGAATCGAGAAGAGTTCCACTTCCGATTACACGATTCGCCGGTAATCCGCTCACTTTCCACGTAACCCATGCCAAAATGTCAACTAAAAGTAAAAGTTCCTTTTCTAATCGCGGTTTAATTCATTTGAACCCAAAGCTAAAATAGGAAATACATTACATATAAATGTTATAATCAACATTTCTATGTATCGTTCGAATTGTCTATTATCGTACGCAAGAAAAATGTATGTCCCCTCTGATTTTATATAATAAATTTTGTTTTATGTCCTTTTTTTTTTATTCTAAAACTCCACCTGGGTTACTGACAACCAGGAACACCGCGTTTGGACTGTAACCGGTCAGAATCGGTATTATGGTTTTCATTATCTCCGCATTTCGTTGCGCCAAGTCCAATCGTGTCTCACCCTTAGATGGCCTCACACCCGCACATATGACGACCACTTTTGAATTACTCGTGATACAGAAGTCTGAAACGATGTCCGTTCATTTACAATTAATTAATACTTGGATTATGGCAAAATATAATATTGACACGAGAAAGACTGAAACTTAGTGT